GAAGAAGAAGAAGAAGAAGAAGAAGAAGAAGAGTAGCCATTTGGGGACAAACAGTGTCTTGGCTCAAAAGGTCAGTGCCTCGAGAGATTACCCGTGAGCAATCTTTGAGGAGGCTTCTGGAAGATATTCCCACCAAAGAAGAGCGAGAGAACCAGTGCGGGCAGAGGCTGCCCGACAAAGGCACGTCTGGCTTGGAGGCCGTGCAGGCGGACTGGAACCTTGTAATTGTAGAGGCGGAGAGCTGCAGACGGGCAGTCAACATTATCTCAGCCTGTCTTCAGTCTTCTTAACAGCCACGTAGTAGCGACTTCCACCTCTGACCTAATGTCTTTGAGCTCTAGGTAATGTAGTTAGGAATGCTGTTGCCTAGGAGAACACTGGCTTCCAGACCGCAACACTAAGAATGTTAAGGACGAGTCTGACACCTGTAGGAGAGCTTTGCCCCTCCCTGCTGTCACCTGCTAACTTCAAGGCCCCACCAACGTGGTTGGTACAGGCACTGAAGTTTATGTGACTACTTTGACAGTGGAGCTCGTCATTTGGGGTAGTCTGAGTTTGTGTTCCTGGGCCATGACCACTCATATTTGGCTCAGATTAAATGATCTCTTTTTATGTTTTGATTTTTTTTTTAGAGGTTTTTGTTTGTATTTATGTCTATGTTATGCATGTCTTTGCCAAGTGTGTGAAGGTGTCTTCCCAGGACAGAAGAGGACGCTGGATCCCCCAGAGGGGGATTTACAGGCATCTGTGAGCCACCTAACACGGGTGCTGGCAACTGAATGCAGGCCACCTGATAGAGCATCACACATCCTTAACCACCGAGCCATCTGTCCAGCCCCTCTTTTTACGGTAAAAATAAAGTTACTATTGTGCCACAGTGGGCATGCGGGGGTCAGAGGGCAACTTTGTGAAGCTGGTTCTCCCTGTCCACCCTTAGGTGGGTCCTGGGGATTGAACGCAGGCTGCCAGGCTTGCTCAGCAAGCGCTTTTACCTGGTGAGCCATCTTACCGGCTCTGAGAAAAACTAGCCCCATTCCCTCTGGAGCAAGAGCTGTGTTTTGAGTTGATCCCGTGAAACAGAAACGGAGGTTCCACACAACGTGATGGTGAAGGAACATCCCGGCGCTCCAGAGTGGAGTGGAAGCGCAAAGATACCGAGACGAAATTCTCCAAACGGAACAAAGTGGCCCAGCTCCGGGCGGAAGGGAAAGCAGAGAGGGCTGCACCAGAGGGAACTCTAACAGCGGTGCACACACGTCTCAGCCTGACGTCTGTGTTCCTAGTGACATGATACAGTCACTGAAAATTAATTCAATAAGACTCACAGGTATCAGTTTGGGGAGGGTAGTCGGAGAGGAATGGCGCCGTGGTCCCCTCTAAAGTCATTGAAAATTGAATTGCCATTGCAACAGCATTAAGAGAAGGCGCCTGTGGGAGGGAGGTGGTCAGTTCACAGTCTCTGTCTTCAAGAAGGGATTGATGCCATCACCATAGCGACCTGTGAGCTACCTCCAGAGTGGGTTCCTGATTTTTAAAAAGTGTGACACACACACACACACACACACACACACACACACACACACACACACACGGCTGAGAAACAATCAGTGGGTAACGTGCCCGGCGCACAAGCATGGGGACCTACGTTTGTGTCCTCAGGACCCATGTAAAAAGGTGGCCATGGTGATGCCTGTCTGTAGCCAGAGCTCTGGGGATAGAGAAAGGCAGATCCCAGGGCCTCACTGCTCAGCCGGTCTAGTCAAAAGAGCAAACTTCAGCCAGGCCTGGTGGTGCACGTCTTTAATTTTATCATTTGGGAGGCAGAAGCAAGTGGATTTCTGTGAGTTCAAGGCCAGCCTAGTGCTCGATTTACACGTCTACACTTTCATGCTGAGCTTTTCACTTGGATCCCCGGGGATCCAGGCTCAGGCTCCTGTGCTTATTGACTGGGCCGTATCCCAACTCTAAAAATCTGTTCGGTTTTTTTTCCTTTTTGTTGTCGTTGACACAGAGTTTCTCTGTGTAGCCCTGGCTGTCCTGGAACTTGCGCTGTAGATCAGGCTGGTCTCAAACTCATGGAGATCGCCTGCCTCTGCCTCCCGAGCTCTAGAATCAAAGGTGTGCGCCACCACCAGGGCTAAGTCGAAATACTCTGTCTCAAATAACAATAACAATAAATAATCATCTCATCACACCCCAGGTCAGGAAGAATCGTCTTTGGAGGTGGATGCCCACGAATCAGGACTTTCTCTTTTTTCTTTTCTTTCCTTATTTATTGGCTTTTCGAGACAGAGTTTCTCTGTGTAGTTTTGGCGCCTGTCCTGGATCTCGCTCTGTAAACCAGGCTGGCCTCGAACTCACAGAGATCCACCTGGCTCTGCCTCCCGAGTGCTGGGATTAAAGGCATGTGCCACCACCGCCCGGCTGAATCAGGAGTTTTTCAATTAGTTATTTTTATTTTTATTTTCTTGAGATAGGGCCTCACCACACAGGCCTGGCTGTCCTGAAACTTGCTTCGTAGATCAGGCTGGCCTGGAGCTCACAGGAATCTGTCTGCTTGCCTCTGCCTCCCAAGGGCTGGGGTTAAAGATGTTCGCAACCACATCTGGCTCAGCTGAATTTTAAGGTTGATGGGTTTTATTATTGTTTTTTCATACATATGTCTCATTCATTACAATTTGTTCTTAACTACATACACTCTCCTCTATTGCACACCTCTGTCTCCCCATCCCCTTTCTTCGGTTCTATTTCTGTCCCCCATATCATTTTCTTTTCTGTTTTAGAATGGCTTACCGTTAAACAGGACAGGGCTGAGGGGGTGGGGGGAGTTGGAGGGGCAGGGACTGAGACAGAGTTAGCTGGTTCTGAATTCACTCTGATCCTTTTGCTTCATAGATGGATCATTATGATCCCAGGATGTGTAACCCTGGCTTTCAATCAGGAAAAATAGCTAAAGATTTTTAAAAATACAGGTATTATATATACATATATTTATGAATATGTATATACATACACATAAAACACATATATTCGTGTACATAAGTTTATGTACACCATGTGCATACAGGTACTGGCAGAGGCCAGAAGAGAGAGTTGGACCCCCTGGAGCTGGAGTTATATAGGTAGTTATGGGCTGCTATGTGGGTATTGGGAAGCAAACCAGGTCTTCTCCAAGAGCAGGAGATTCTTAACTACTGAGACATCTTAACTGAGATATCTTAACTGAGATCTTACTGAGATTCTTAACTACTGAGACATCTCTCCAGTCAGAAACAGGCATTTTTAAAAGCTCCAACAGCTCTTTCGCATAGTCAAGGATGAGAACCACTGAATTCAGGTGCTCTTTCTCGTGTGCGCAGGAAATGCCTGAGAGTCAACAACAATGAAGGGAGACACACACACACACACACACACACACACACACACACACACACACGGGACACACACACATACACACACACACACGGGACACACACACACGGGACACACACACACACACACACACGGGACA